AAGTAAATCGATGGATGGTAGAAGCAGGTTTTCCACTGTTGGAGGGGAAGGGGCTACAATGATCCATTTGCTAATGATTAGAGTTGAAAACATCAATGAGAACTCACATTTAGTTTAGTATAGTTACAGATGATTGCACACAGAAATGTTCATATATGTGTATGTGTGTTTATATGGGTTAATTTACACACATACATTTCCTTGCTTTGTCAGCTAAAAGAGTAAAGAAACAAAGCTTGTGCAGTCCCTCATGCCTATAATCCCAGCACTTTGGGAGGCTGAGGCAGGGGCACCACTTGGGTTCAGGAATTTGAGACCAGCCTGAGCAACACAAGGTAACCCCAAGTCTACCATGAAGAAAAGAAATAAAAAGGAAAAAGATAAGAGAGGAGAGGAGTACAGGGGAGGGGAGGGCAGGGGAGGAACACTTCAGTAGCAATGAGCAAACCTATTGCCCAGATTTTGGTTTCTAAGCCCATTCTCCAATGAAAGGAACTAGAGCCCCTTAGAGAAATGTCTATTTCTACGTCTGGGGCAGGAAGTGTACAAGATGAGCCAAGAATATTTGCAGTACCAAAAGTAATCAAGTGCTAGAAACAAATGAGCCCACGTTGATGGGGGTTATCAAAGAAGCCAACTCAAAGAGCTCCCAAGGGCCAAAGCTGGAACAATTTGAGCAACAAAATTAAGTAGTCATGGCTTATAACCCAAAATACAAAATAAGTATCTATGACTCCATATTGATATGAATGATTGAATAAATAAATGGAAGAGAAAAGACAAAGAATTCCAAATAATTTAGATAGCTCCTTTACCGTAAGGGAGGAGAAATGAAACATGTCACTCTAAGTGTGGACTGCACAGAGAGACTTTTTTCCAAAGATTAATAGTATGGAAAGGACGAAAAAAGGAGTAATCTTACAGTGGAGAAACCTGACAAATGGTATGTTAGGCAGATCACCAACATTAATGCCAACAGTTATAAACTGAGTTGATAGAATGTACCCTCACTACGATATGACGACAATGGCCCTTCACTGCTGTGATCTTACCCCCACAAACACATAACCCCAATCTCTTCATAAGAAAAACATCAGACAAATTCCAGGAGAGGGGAATCCTTGCAATATACCTGACCAGAACTCATCAAAACTCTTAAGGTTGCCAAAAATCAAGGAAAGTCTTTTGGGTTTTGTTGGTTTTTGTTTTGTTTTATTGTTTTGTTTTTTTGAGACAGGGTCTCACTCCATTGCCCAGGCTGAAGTGCAGTGGCGCGATCACTGCTCACTGCTGCCTGGACCTCCCAGGCTCACGTGAGCCTCCCACCTTAGCCTTCCAAGTAGGTGGAACTACAGGCACACGCCACCATGGCCCAGCTAATGTTTTGTATTTTTAGTAAAGATGCAGGTTGCCCAGACTGGTATCAAACTTTTGGGCTCAAGAGATCCACCCACCTCAACCTCCCAAAATACAGGGATTGAGGTGTGAGCCACTATGCCTGATTTCTAAAGTCTTAGAAACCATTATAGCCAAGAGAATGAGAGATGACAACTAAATGTAATATGGTATTACAAGTGAGACCCTGGAACAACAACAACAAAAAAAGACATTAATGGAAAAATTAAGGAAATCTGAATAAAGTATAGATTTTAGTTCATCATAATCATGTATCAATGTCATTTCACCAATTGAAATGAATTTATCATACTAATGGAAGATGTTAATAATGGGAAACTAAATGTGAGGCATATTGAAACTCTCTGTACTGTCTTCATAATTTTCTTGTAATTCTAAAATTGCTCTAAAAAATAATCTATTAAAAACTTTTTAAATATCATCAACAGATCATTATAGCCAAGAAAGAGAACTCAGAACATATATATAATGCTGGATTATGATAAAGGAGATATTAAAAATATGCATGGAAGAACAGACTATTATTGAATAAACGACCCAGGGACTACTTGCCAGACCACATGAAAAAACAAAATCAGGTGAGATTAGACTACTGCCACACTCCACACACAGATTGCAGTTGGATTACAATTTCAAATGTGTAAAAACAAATCTTTAAAATAATTATAAAAAATCTTAGAGAATATCTTCACAATCTTGGGATAGGAAAGGCCTTCATAAGCAGAAGAAAAGCAATATGAACCATACAGAAAATATTGATTTTACTACAAAAAAGTTTTCAATTACTATAGAAAAAATGTTACTATTTAAGGAATAAAAAAGGACAAATGACTGACCAGAAGAAATGGCGCTCAACCTATAATGGCTCAAAGGATTACTATGTAAAATATATATAAAGAAATTCTGTAAGTAAATTTGAAAATGATAAACCAACACAAAAATGGAGAAAAGATATGAATAGATGAATCACAGAGGAATGACCACTAAACAAATTACAATATGCTAGATATCACCAGCAATGTACATTTCACACTTAAGATTTTATATTTTTCCCAAAAGATTGGTTAAAAATGATAAAAGAGTGACAATATTGAATATTGCCAAGAATGGAAAAGAAAGGATCTTTAACACACTGAGTATAGATCATTCGGTGCTTTACCCACTCTAAAGGACAATTTGACATCATTAAATGTGCACATCTTCCCTTCCAAAATATTTACAAAAGGAGCAAAGCCAGGCTTTCGTTAACAGCAATATGGTTCACTGAATAGTGATATAACAGAAAAGTATGCATTAGTTCTAAAAGAATGAGATGACTATATAGAGGTATAGAGAGACAGATTACAGATAAACATGAGTAAACACACACACATTTTTCTATATATAACATGGAAATAGCTCTCCAAGAATATAGCTTGGTGTAGAAAAAAGTTGATGAATAATAATTAGGGCATAACAAAACCTGTGATTAAAAAGAAAGGAAAAGAGACTCAAAAACAACATATTTATGACATATACATGTAAATATCGAATGCACAGGAAACTCTTACAGGCTACTTACCAAACTGAGAAAAAAATGAGATTGAGGGAAAGCGGTATGATTTTATGCATTACTTGTATAATTAGATTTTTTTTCTTAGTGAAAATAAGCAAGACAGGAAAGAAGCGGTAAAAGTTTTACACGGAACGTATTTTCCCAAATGAGCAATCCGTATGCATCTAGGCTGCTGTACGTCGGGTGCCTGCCCCTGTGGCATGAGGGTCTCGCCTTCACTTGTACTCTAACTCTGTTCCCCTGGAAACCTGATAATGGGATGACATCAGCGATACTGCTAAGCAACTGCTGCTTACAAGAAAAATGACCCGACTGGCCAGTTGCATCTGGACTGGGAGGAACTACGAGAGGGCAACAAACATCTGATGCATATGCCGTATTTTGTGGCTTTTGTAAATGCAGAGACGCCTGTCTTCTGTGCTTGGCTCAAAGCTTGTGGGGACATAAGGTCAAAAAACACCATAAAGCAAGGTGTCATTCAGATAGGCACTTTAGATTTACACTAAGCGAGCTGGCTACGTGTGGAAAAGCCCTTTTTAAATTCTTAATAGCCTATGCCATTTTTCATGACTGACATCTAAACTGCGTTATAAACTATAAACACTCCATTTTAATCCTCCTTCAAGTTATATGTAAGCAACAATATTTTGCATTCAATTAAACTAAGGTATTTTGGGTGAACAGCAAGGTTTAAAATGTATTCATTACACAACTGTAGTAAATTTATGGTTCACATAAATTTTATCCATAATTTCCCAAAGCACTATGGAAAGTTAAATCATTCATTTTTATAAAGTAAAACACAATGTGGGACTATATAAAACCTAAAAAGAAGAAAAAAATTTCCAAAGGGGCTGGCTTCCAAGTTAAGCACTTGAGAAAGAAAAGTTTTATGTAATTTAACAATCAAAACTTCTTCCTGACAAAAACGAATCCTCAGTGTAAATCATGGTGGAAAAAAAATCATTCTTGATTGATAAAGATGAGACAAAATTTGCCAAAATATAACTATGGACATGCTCGAAATAGTGAAGAATTTTATTTGCAAATAGTGCAAATGGAAATGCCAGTGTAAAGTGATATGAGATAAAATTGACAAAAATTGCATTTCAGCATTTTTGAAATTAGAGCACCAGTCATTGTAATTGTCCAGTCTAAGGTAGCCATTTCAGATGGTTAGAGAGCTGTATCAACCAAATTCAGGATGCCCATATAAAACAGAAAACATTCCTCTTCATCACACTATGTTGTCACTTCTTTCATGGGGCTTTAAAAATGACATAGACCCCCAACCCCATTTGCATTTTTTTTCTAGTTCTTAGAGGCATCCAGGATTCTACAATTTGAAAAAGTGCTGATTGAGGCATCTACCACCATACCCCTACTTCCTGAATCAGATCAGAAGAGGAGGATTTCATGTACACATGTGTGCATGTGAGGTTTTTTTTCCTTTCTTATAAGTATCTGTTCTAGGTATTTCAAAGTCTTATAACTGATAATCATGAAATATGTTTATTTGTTAGTTTTAATTGAATCCCTTAATGTCATATATCAACTTCAGGATGCGTTTTACCTCTGACAGAGAGAAAACAGAGAATTGGGGTAAGGATAATGTTTTACTTCTTAAAGAAAAAACAAAAGAGAAAGATCTGAATCAACTGTGGCAAACAGTTCCTGTTTTTACATCTGGGTGAAGGGTAATATGGGTATTACGGTATTTGCCATACTTTTCTGTATGTTTCAAATACTTAATTTTTTAAATTAAATACAAAGAATTATCCTAAAAGCAAGACAGTATGAGAGCATCAGTACACGTCATCACTACCTGGAGAAAGAGGCAGTCAGCCCATATCCTCCAGTGACTTTTGCCTAGCAAGGCATCCCTGAGTCCATCTCATGCCTCTAGTGTTGGCGACAGAAAAACAAGCATGATCTGCCTGCATTTGCTTAAAGCAATGCTGTATTTCACTGTGAACAAGAAGGTTTAAGCAAAGTTGGAATGAAAAATGCCCGTCTTGGGTTCACATACCGGTGTCACTCCCGGATCCCGTTGACAAAGCTGGCATGATGCAAGGTGCAGGAACAGGTCAGCCCACCACTCTGCAGACACCCTGCCCTCAGAGAGCCACAGGGAATTCCAACTCAACTGCCTGCAGCCACAGTGTCTACCAAGATCTGTGTATCTTGTAAGCCGTTTCTAGAAAGGAAAGAAACATTCATATTTTTTAAAACGGGACCATCACCAAATCACAACATTCTGTAACTAATTCAAAATTCCGATCTCCATCACTACCCGAAAGATCACAACTCTTCAGAATTTTTTCTACAGACCACATGCAAATATGAATTGTGAGAGTTTCTGATCTTGATGAGCGACTTCTAATTGAAAACATGAATGTTCTGCATGCATGTGTCAAGGCTTCCTTAAAGATTTTTGCATTTGGATTGGGGAACGCTGATTGGATACATGGATAATTTTAAGAAGCTTCTGTACGTGAATGCCATTCTCAACTTCCACCCTGTGTTACCATAATTCTCAGCTATATTTCTAACTGTAGAACAGAGACTATATAAATTGTCAGCGACTTATAATTCATTGTATTTTTTTTTTTTTAATATGGAGTCTCACTCTGTCGCTCAGGCTGGAGCACAGTGGTGTGATCTCGGCTCACTGCAACCTCCGTCTCCCAGGTTCAAGCAATTCTCCCTGCCCCAGCCTTCTGAGTAGCTGGGATTACAGACACCCACCACCAACCCTGGCTAATTTTCCTTTTTCTTTTTTTAATAGAGACGGGGTTTCACCATATTGGCCAGGCTGGTCTCAAACTCCTGACCTCAGTTGATCTGCCTGCCTTGGCCTCTCAAACTGCTGCGATTACAGGTATAAGCCACCGCACCCAGCCTATTTTTTTTTTTTTTTTTTTTTTTTTTTTGAGACGGAGTTTCACTCTTGTTACCCAGGCTGGAGTGCAATGGCGCAATCTCGGCTCACTGCAACCTCTGCCTCCTGGGTTCAGGCAATTCTCCTGCCTCAACCTCCTGAGTAGCTGGGATTACAGGCACACGCCACCATGCCCAGCTACTATTGTGTATTTTTTGTTTGTTTGTTTTTAGTAGAGACGGGGTTTCACCATGTTGACCAGGATGGTCTCGATCTCTTGACCTCGTGATCCACCCGCCTCGGCCTCCCAAAGTGTTGGGATTACAGGCTTGAGTCACCGCGCCTGGCTGTATTTTTTTAAATAGCTCATCCTAATATGACAAATGCATGGTTCTCTAACTGAAGACTGCAACTAATCTTGAAGGAATATTTACTAGAATGAAAGCAAGATGTTATTATAGATTTATAGAAGTAAATCTAACGATTTAAGCCAGCATACATAAGTAAGTTCTTTCAGTAAAACTAACCTTTGTTGTATCTGGAAAAATATTAACTTCTTTTTAAATAACTATCTTAACTAATGTTTATCCTGAAATAAGCAGTAAAGGTAGTACAGCATAGCAGTTAAGAACAAGGAATCTAGAGTTTGACGTAATCTCTAAAGCTGCTAGTTCTAATCTCTAAAGCTGCTAGTTCTGTGATCTTCGACACGGTATTTCATCTTCTTAAGCCTTAACTTCCTTACATGCAAATAAAGACAACAGTAAATTAGAACTATTTGGTAATTAAATATACTCAGATACATAATGCAGTGCCTGACACATGGTAAGTAAACAAGAAACGCTGTTTATTATGACTGGGCTTTTTTAAATTCAGGTAATGAGATTATAAAATGAAAACATAAAAGAAAGTAGCAAGATTAAAATTTACATTGGCCTAACACCTAGAGGGAGGCCATCTGGTTTAAATTTGGATCACCTCTAGCTAATAACGGAAAAAGTACTCCATTTACATTTCTGTAGAAATCAGAAGAACCACACAATGTGTTTTAAGTTCATTTTTAACACACTTTCCTCAATTCTCTATAAAGCAAATTCAGTAATTTAGAAGGATATTTTAACATGTATTAACAACAACAAGAAAACATTGGAAACCTTGGAAAAACTGGCTCACATCAATTCTTAAAGGCTTTAAGTTGCTGAATCAAATAACAGAAAAAAAAGAAATGAACTTGCCAAATTTTACTTTAAAAAATCCACACTGCAAGATTCTATTAAAGCCTTCTAAATTAGCTTTTTAATTGTTAAAGTGAAAATTAGTATTAAAAACACCATCATCAAACAAATTATTTTAGATCAGACTATCTGCTGCAATGGCTTGAATTTTGCTTTATGTTACTGCAAAGGCTGACATAGTTAAAACATGCATACAAATCCATACAGAAAAGAGTACTCATTTAAAATATGAGGACTGTTATTTTAAGTACCAAATGAAAATACAGCTCACTAAGCTAAAAATTAAAAATGTGAGGCAAGATTTCACTAATGCACATGTCTGAAGCTATTTTTTCTAATAATTTTTAAAGCAATTTTGCTTTGCCTTCATCAATTATTATAAAAATCAGGATGAAGATTCAACTACAGGAAAATGTTCCTTATATAAAGCAAGGTTAGAAACGAAGTCATTCAAAGTCAAAAACAGACTGTATAATTTCAAGAACACAGTCAATTAGTAGACTTTTGTTTTGCTAATAGAAAAAAAGGAAAACAAATTAAAATTTGTAAAATGTCTGCAGACACATTTGTACCATTAGGGCAATATATATGTATGTATGTTTGTGAGTAGGTATTGTATGTGTGTATATATATATGTAATTTAAGTTCTTTATGTCACAAGAAAAGCCATTAATTATATGGTAGAGACTGTACATGTGCTATACAATCTATACCATGCAACCTATCACTTTCTTCACAGCTTAAAGAACTTACAATGTTTCACGTTTATAAACCATACACACCATATGATAAGACAACATATGCTTATAGCAAACAATTAGAATTTCATATAATTTGAAACATTCACATTCCATTAATACTAAAAGCCTTACATTCCACAACAAAACACCCTTTTGAGCTGATATTGCTGCTGTTCATCTATGCCATGTAAAAAAAGCCCTAGCACTTCTTGTTCTTTATTTCATAATGAACACTCAAGATTAAATTTTTCCAAAGCTGTATTATTTACTACAAAGCAATTCTCTCTTAAGTACATATACTACAAAGTAATCACCTTCTCAGAGCATATGCAAGAATATGAATTTTTAAAATGGTTTGACAGAATCCTAACCAGTAACATTTTGTATTTTGTGGAATAAAGCACTAGGTTTAACTTTCGAACTGAGTTAAACTTTTGTAGTAATGATGTTATTTTCTTTGGCTAAATTCATTGAAAATGCTTTGGAATTTGTCGGAAGGCAGCCATAATTATTACTGACTGTTGTATGGAATCAATTTACTACAACACAAAAATACCAGCTGTTACAGTATGTCCTGAGAGGGATTACTGAATATTCTTAAATTGAAGTTCAATCCATCTTTCCATAAAAAAGAGAAAGATCCAAAAGCCAGGAACATAACAGCAGTATCAAATGCACCTGAAGCATTTACAATACCCAATAGAATGATTACAACCCTCCTTTAAAAAGGCTTATTTTTGAAATTTCATTATTCCAGTTGTACCTTGCTTCTATATATCACACTGTATCAGGTTCCTCTGGCATTGATCATCTGGAAACAGTGAAGTATGTGAAGGTCTATGAGTTTACAATATTCAATTTCTACCCGCCCTGGGCAACTCTTAATGCTCCCGTGGCACTCATGACATCTAGTGGTCAATCACAAAAGTGCAAGTGTTTACAACTTCTTTTCAGTAAAGAATTTACTTAATTCCATCGTCTGCAACATTTTTTACTAATGTAAACATATATACACACACACACAGTTAATATATATGAATAAGAAATCAAGTAATTTTCAAATACATTTCCTCTCTATAAGTGTTCAAAAATATGAAAACTTGTAATTCACTGTCATCATAAACTATTTTAATAAATGTTAGCAATCTATCATTTCAGAATAAGTGTGCTCAGACATCCAACTGTAGATTATTTCACCAGGTACACATACTCAAAAGTTACATTTTCAAAACCTAATAGAGCAATAAAACAACACACACAGAGTAAACTTTTTAAAATAAATCTAATTATCATAGATATTTTAAAAGCTCAATCTGAAAGACTCATTAATTATATTAGCCAGTGCAAGAAGCAGACTTATATCTGTTAACATTATTTGAACCCTCATAAATTATAATTGTAAGAATAAAAAGAGGCAACATATACTAAGTGGCAGGCATCTACTTATATAAAATGGTACTTGTATCTTTTATATCAGCTATTCTTAAAGTGTGGTCCAGAGACTCCTAGTGGTCTCCAGGACCCTTTCAGAGGAGTCCATGAAGTCAAACTATTTTCATAAAAATACTGAAGAAAGTACTGAGATGTTATTTGTCTTTTTCACTGTACCAGCATCTGCACCAATGGTGAAAAGAAATAAAGCAATGGTCACTGTTGGTAAAACCACTGCCATCTGAGCATGAGTCAAGATAATGCCACCAAATTGAAACTATTGAACATTATCTTTTTCACTGCCAAGGACGCTCATTCAAAGGAAGAGGAGTTAGAAGAAAAGCAGGAAGACGAGGAGGGAAGACGAAAGGTTCACTATAGAATATCGCTAATGAAGCATTAAAAATTAATATTCATTGACTCTTAAGTACTCTTCTTTTTAACATCCTGTGTGAATAACGGGAAGGACACATAAAGTACTGCTGCTATAAACAAAGGAAACACTGTCTCAAAAAAAAAAAAAAAAAAAACAGTTGTGCAGTGATTTGAGTTGTGAACTGTATTGGCTGCTTTGATCATGGAACATCATTTTTTTTTTTAACTTAAAAGAACAGAAGACAAACTATGGTCATTCAAGCTTCTTGGTATTTGGCAAACGTTTTCTTGAAAATAAATAGAGTCCATGTTTTCAAGGGAAACCAAAAACAGTATGTGTTGCTAACAATAAAAATGAGCTTCCAAGCAAAAATTAGAATTTTATAAAACTTGCACCCACTAGAGGCTCATTTTGCATGATGCTCTGTTAACTGAAACACACACATGGTGGAACCAAGTCCACACTTCGCACTGGTTCTATCAGCTTCCCAATGCCTAAAGGCTTTGCTGGGAAGATCCATGGTGATATTAACAA